TATATCTGTAGGTGGCCGACTATTTAAGATACTAAGTATGCTCATGCTTTAGTAAAATATTGTGTGTGTTATGTATTTGCTAGCTACATCCATTGCGGACAATCAGTCTATTTTATTTCAAACAGAAAAAAGATATATGAACTGGTAAACATGTTTTACACTTGATATTGCTTTAATCAAAACGTTGTAAAATATAAATTTGTTGATTTAATTTTAATTAAGTTGATCTCAGTTACCTCTCTTGCAGTCCTATGTATAGTTAGGAAGTCTATGAATTTAGATAGAAAAAGCAAGTAGTATATCGACGGTGTTGATATTGTGTATCATCTGAGTAACCGAGTACTCGATCGGAAAAATGATCGAGTAATCGAGTATTGAATTTGGTATTCCTTGCCATCCCTATAAAAAAAGTTAAACATATTCCTGAAACAAAAATTGTTATGCTTGTTAAAGTATAATATCGTAGCAGCCGTATGCGCAAATTAATTTCTTTTAATTTAATTTAGAAAAAAACTGTTTTGGTTCGTTTACTTACTGTGCTATTCGTTTTGACAATAGCGTCACACAGATTCGGCGCTACTTTTATGTTATTTGCACATTCTTGCGTTACCGGTTTGGCGGGGCGTTAATACGAAGCTGATTGTAATCTGATCGTGGAGAGCTATTCTTATCACCAGGCGTCGGTGTGGGCTTCACACTTTGGTTTATGTTGGTGTCTCCAGGACTACTGACAGCAATCACGCGCTTATTTGAGATCATAATAGGTGGTCACTATCAAAAGCCCGTTACTCTAATGTAGGTGTTGACCGAACTATAGCCCTTTTTGACCTTAAAAAGGTTTACATTATTCAGGTTCTTGTTTTACTATCCAGCACTGAGAATAGTCTAGCGCACTGGCTCAAAAATCATATAAATAAACTGCAGTTTTCGAAAGAAATATGAGAGAATTAAAGTTAATCATCGCGATAAAGTTCACATTTTGAATTTTACGAGGATTACATGTTACATGTTTAAGCATGCGACAAATTCAACATTGAATGGCGCCAAACGTTTCTTACGGGAATATGAAATCTTGCTTTTTATCTATAAAAGTACAGGAGGGCGGATAAGGTATTGCGTGTCAGTAGGTGATCTTTAAGTGGTCAGAAGACGACATCGTATATTATAAACAGCTATTTCAAAGTGTCTTCTAACGAACGTAGGAAGACAGTTTGAATAGCTCTACTTGGAGTATAGTCGTATAAATAGAATAACAAAAAATGTCAAACAATCTAAAGGCTTATAAAAGAAATCACTTGATCCAACATCCTTAACCTGCTAAATGTGCGTATTGAATCTGCCCTGGTATGAATTTGAACGCATCTATTTAACACTTACGGGATTCTTTTATCAAAAAACAGCCGGCTGGTCAGAATGCACGATATCGGAGGCTAGCTCGGATTTATACTGGTAATAAAGCCTTCTTATTTACAATTCAAGCAGGCAAATGGTGAATCTATCTTCATTGAATAAAAATAATTCGTACAGAACGTTGTTTATTTGATTAAGTTTCCTGAATAAAATAGGTTTATACTACAGTATACTCAATTAAATTGGCATTAATATGTTAGAAATGGTGAATGAATATAATTATCTAGGAGTCATTAAATGCACGCGGCGTATATTAGATATGCATTCGTCTATTCAGCAAATTGGAAAATTTTAGTCTTGCCTTTGTGTATTTTTGTGTAACAAAATCACACTGTTTTCTAATAAAAATAGCTTTTCTGATGTATAATATGTCACCGAGCTTTAAGGAATTTAAATAAATGTTTAACTGAAGTGACATTGCCATGTTTGAATATCATATTCTTTTTATCAATATATAATTTTATTTACCTAATAAATAAAGTGTCTATGAGTCAGTCTATATTCTAACGACGACGGGAACAAAATTCGGACAGGGAACAAGTGGTATGACTAAAATACGCAAGGGAGATATTTCGCACTACGGGCGTAACGGAAATAGTTTTTGCAAACAGGCAAAACGTGTGCGTATCCATGAAAATAGTTAACCTTTAAGTTATATAACCGATTAACTGAGTGAAAATAGTACTTTTATTTTTAAATGAACAGGACTGTCATTGCACCTTTTCACGTCTTCTCGAATTTTTTAATGTCTGAAAATCCTGCTTTGATACTAGACAATTTTGTATGTACAGTTTTCGCACGGTCTAAACACGTTCACACTTTCGACCCGCATAACACATCCCTTGTAATACATCAGAAATAAAACAGAAACTTCCGTAGGATATCCGTTTTTAAACAGTTTTTTTGCGCTGTTTGCTTTCAGAAATATGCTGAGCACCTATAATTACTTAGAAGCTCATGCCTTATTGTATCTTTTAAAAATATGTTCATATTGTACGAGTATGTTGTAATTCATGTTACTATAATAAACAATGTATCTATTTATATAACAAAATAAATACTCCATTTTCTTACAACTAATTTTGGGTACAAATCATGAATAGCTTTTCTTTTGTCTACATGCTTTTTGATTTTTTCTGAAGGAAATTTATGCATTTTATGTTTAGTACTGATATCTTTTATCGTTGAGATTATGAGATTAAGATTTAAACCGTTGAATGGTATTAAATGAAACGCTCCATTGATCCCGATTTATTTTAATAACAAACATGAAACTGGAATCCCGTTGATTTATTTTTAGAGTTGCTTTAAGAGTTACTAATAAATTTAATATCGAGGGTAGTTAAATAAGTTAATAGAGAAATTATCTCTAATGTTCCATTAGTATTTCAAATATTGAAGAACACAATAAAAATATCAGATAAATCAGGCAATAATAGTACATTGTATTACAGACTTTCCACTTTGAACAGCAATATATATTCACAAGCAACATATCAGGATGTATATTTTTATTGTGTTCTTGTATCGCTAAAACGGTGTTAAGTAATAACTCTTTGTATTGTTATTGGGTGTCATGTAATGGAACAGTCAGGCCTGACATTTTTAATTTAAGAACAAAAGATATATTTAATATTTTAAATTATAGTAGTGAAATATTAGGTTTAACTAATGATATATCAATAGAAAGAGTTAATTTGCAATTCTGTAAAAGTATTCTTGGTGTGAAAAAAAAACAGCCCAAAATGATTTCGTTTATGGAGAACTGGGTAGAACCTCTTTACAAGTTATTCATCATATGAACATTGTTAAATACTGGGTAAAGATATTAAGAACACGCGAAAATAAGTATATTTATTTGATCTATAACATGTTAAAATAAGATTTTGAACGAGATGAGCGTAAGGTAAACTGGTGTTCAATGGTTAAAAATTTATTATGTTCTCTTGGTTTTTATGATGCTTGGTTAGAGCAAAATGTTGGTGATGTTGAATTATTTTTATCTTCAGTTAAAGTGACATTATGCTCATATTTTCATAGTCAAATTGAGCTGAATTGCCTTTTCATTTCAAACGATTGACTGTTTAAATGGTGTTGACCAACAGTTTATTTTGAAAAATGTTCTAGATAAAATTTGAAATCTGCCTAAAATATAAAAGGACTGCACCACTCTTTTTATAAACGAAACGTTTCAGGTAAGTTCTAATTGATATTTACATAAATTCCGTTTCGATCCGGGGGTTATTTATTGTTTTTATGAAGTTAATTATTAAATTAAAATAATTTATGGCTTTATAAAAACTTATTTTTACTTCCACCTGTTCACTCAGTGTATACCCTTAAATGAGCATAATGTCACTTTAAACAAAGATTAACAGATCAATTTATTCAAAACTGGCATAGTAGACTAAATGATTCAAGCAGAGCATTATTTTACAGAAACATAGCATCTTTCCAAATTCAGCCATATCTTCGAATGTTTTTCAATTAATAAATTTTGCCAAGCATTATCTAGATTGCGTGTTTCATCACACAGGTTACAAATTGAGTCAGGTAGATGGGCACGTCCAGTAAGAATTGAAATAAATGAAAGGAAATGTAACTTATGTGGTTTATTGGAGGATGAATTTCATTTTGTAATTGAATGCTATCTTTACAATGATTTCAGGAAAAAGTATATACCAAGATACTATTGGAATAGACCGAATTATGTTTAAGTTTTTAGAATTAATTAAATCTGATAACAAAACTGTAATTAGAAATTTGGGAATATATGTATACAACGCTTTTGCTATTAGAAATAACGTTATGTACGGGCAATGATACAAGTAAAATAATGTATATATCTCAGCATTTTTCTTCTTCTCTTCTTTTGGTTGCTACAGCACAGTGGAAATATTACTCCTTTCAAGATATAAAATTCAATACTAAAAGTTTCAAAGAGAAAAGAATAAAATTAATGATATCTGAATCAATCTACAATTATTTTGATGATGATGTTTCACGAATAGCCAATGAGTTGACCTTTTTCTCTTTTGTTTTCGATTTCGATAAAGGTTGACTAAAAATTGGAGTACTATTCCCATGATTGCTTATATATTATAATGTATTGTATTGAATAATTGTTTCTCCTCTATTGGAGAAGTTTTTTAAGGTTGAGTTTCAACCTTCTCGTATATTTCAAAAATTTGAAAAAGAGATGTATTATTATCATTATCATGCATTACTCTGACATGTCATATATAGTATGTTTGTAATATGTTGTCCTATTGGGCTTATTAGCCTATTGGAAATGAAATAAATAAATTCAATTATATTTTTAAAGAATTCATGCCTGATTATTTAAAGTCATCTTATCTATATTTCCAGACAATTCTGTGAAAAACATTCCAATGCTAGTAACCGCTTTCTAAATATATACTTGTATGCAACGTAAAAAAGCTAGCGTTTTATAACTTTTTGACTTTCCCTCGCGTGTTACAAAATGTTTTAATATGCAATAATAATTTTTACATGCATTGGCATGTTATGAAAGTGAAAAATGTTATAAATCTCTGAAAGGGGGCATTCAGTTTCAAATTCAGTAAAAGATGGAATTTACAGAAAGTAAACGAAAGGTAACGATAAACATGCTTATTGTTTATTCATAACTATAGACAAATGAAGATATTGCGCGTTATTTTCGATTTCACTTTATCGAAAATAGCTTATAAATAAGGTAGTAGAGTGTGCATATTCAATAGTATGAAAGGTAAATATTGAATTGTTATTATAACTTTTTTTAATGTACAAATGTTAAACACCAAACTTGAATGTAAATCGAATACTCTGTATTCTATTTGATATTGTACTGTTTCCGTTCCTTAATTCAGGTTTTGTTTTTGTTTTAGGATCGAGCTCGATGTCAACATTATTGTTTGTCTATGAATTTAGTCTCGGTTTATTTCTTAATGTCAGCTGTTTTGCGTAACGTTAGTTGTTCTGAAGTGACATCTATTTCTAAACAAACCAACAAAAACGGTAAGATGAAGTTTGGTCGTTTTTTGTTGTTTTTCCTTTCTTAATTTTGTTGTTGTTGTTGATATTGTTGTTCTTTATTGTTGTTTTTCTTCTTCTTTTAAAATACAAAATAGAATGGATAGAAAACTGTTTTTGTTTGAAAGTGTAATGGCTGACAGTATTTTTCTTGCAATGATACTTTCATTGTAACAAACCTATGTGTTATTTATATACTTTTCACAGTACATGTATAATTCATAGAAATTTATTTGGTTAAACATTTAAACATTACAATCTATATCAATGATTAATATTTACAACACTGTATTTAAATTAGAGCATTATAAATGAGACTGAATTAAAAACATACATAAACAGACATGAATATCAATGACACTGTATCATAATATCGTAGTCATCATTTATGGCATTGTATAAAATTTACATAATGATTTATGACACTGTATTATATTGCAATCATAATTTATAGGACTTAGGATAACATAGCCCGTACATTATATATGGCACTGTGTTTTAATAACATCATTTATGACACTGTATTGTGCAATAATCATCATTTATAACAATTTATGACACTGCATTATACTATAATCATCATCTATGACACTGTTTGATATTATCATTATATATGGCCCTGTATTATTTTGTCCTTGGAATTACAGTGTTATATTTACATTGTCATTGATATTACAATGTTATATTCACATTGTCATTGGTATTACAGTGCTATATTTTCATGTTATTGATAAAACAGTGTTATAGTGGCATTGCTATTGACATTACAGTGTTATATTCGCTTGTTCGATCTCCTGCGAAATTTCTCCGTTACACTTAATCACGAACATTGGGTCTAATGGTAAATTTTGTCTCTCACGACTGATTTAGAAATAATGTGGGGTTAAGGTCAGTGTCTTGTAGAGTAATTGATAATTAGTGGTTAGTTATCCAGAAAGGCCGGTTAAGTGAGTCAACTGTCGGTTGACATATTATGAAAATGTGATAAGTCGACAAAAGAAAAAGAAACAGATAAAAATAAAACAAATTAATTAACACAATATTAATTTATTTGCTGCTGTTTTCTTTTTCTCTCACTCCAATGCGCACGCATATCCAGACACACACGACACACATAATTGATTCCAATCCTTCTAGTACAATCGATATGAACCTGAAAAGCTCATTATACGTTTATATAACCATATTTGTCAAACAAATACACAGAGAATACGTGTAATCGATATATAAAATCTCTAACTTGTCGTATATAATCAAAAATGCTAATTTAAATTTGCCGTAGCTTTCGGCCTTGCGGCCTTCTTTAATATATAATTATATATTCTGATAACATAAGCATACTTAAAATAATATAATGTCACTGGGTACAACAGGTATTTATTATTTACTCAATTTCATAATCATTGAATAGCCGTGCTATTTTTAATCATGACTATACAATGTTTTGGTAAGGGCAAACTGAATCGAAGTTTATCATGTCAGACACTATATCGAATTTTATCATGTCGATAAACCTCCTGATAAACTTAATTTGTAAGTCACTCTAAGTATATCAAACACGTGACATATACAGTAGGGTGAACGTTTCGGTTGTCAAAAATAGTGTTTTTCGTGCGTCCGTTTTTCGTGTAACGTGCCTGCGTATATCGTGCAACGTGCGTTTGATGAACTAGTTTATTAGCTTTTAACGTTTATCGTTTTCCGTGTATCGTTTTACGTTTATCGTGCGTTTGAGAGCGTGCGTTTGCTATCGTTTAGCGTGCGTATGCGCCCGTTTATCGTTTGGTCCAGAACGTTTTAATAACGTGCGTCTGCGTCTGTTATTAGTTTAAAACATATAGTCTAAGCGAAATGATGGTAAACTTTATATGATATTATTTTACAGTTCCTTTATTTTTTAAGTAAACTCTTTTCTATAAATAACAAAAATTTAGTGTTGTTAACTCTAACATTCCATTTAGTTTGTGACCCTATGATGAAGTATCATGAACACCGGACATCGACACGCGTTATTCACATCGGAGATTAGGAATTTAATTATATTTTACAGACGCCAAGGATTTAATTACTCTTCCATTGCAAAGTTGCTGTTACTTAAACATTCTGTGTAAAGAAAGCAGACAGGGTGTAAGAAATTTTTTGCAGAACTATCAACAAACGGGGAACATAAATGTACTTAAAAGGTACGGTATGATTGTTTTCTTTTGTTTTGAAAAGTTATAGGCAACTTCATATGACTGTACAGTACAGTACAATCTACTGTACTTGTTGTTTAGTAAATTTAGCTTAAAATCATTACAAAAGATTTCGTTTGTTTTAAAAAGTTATAGGCAACTTCATATGATTGTAAAGTAAAGTACAGTCTACTACACTTGTTTTTTTTTCTTTTTTTAGTTAATTTAGCTTGAGAACATTACAAAAGATTATGTCAATTAGCGCATTATACACAGATAAAGACTCCATAATATCCCACCGACATTGTTTTCAGAGACACCTTTCTTATTTGTGAAGGGTAAATAACGGCCGGTTTTATTGTTATTGTAAATGCGTGGAATGCAAAGGACCAATCAAATCTTTTACATAAAGATCAATTGTTATATCAATAAAAATAATAGAAAAAATATAAATGTTTGCTGTCTTACAATCAAGCCTATTTTAATTTACTAACTTTATTGTTATTATATATGAATATAATAGGCAAAATATTGCTGTTGAACGTATTGAAACGTCTGGACGAAACGTTTTATAATTTTGCGTGCGTTTCAAAGCGTTTCGAGAAAGCGTAAATAGTTTAGCGTATATCGTTTATCGTTTCGCGCGCGTTTGCGTATTTCGTTTGGTATAGCGTGCGTTCAACGTGCGTTCGTTTAGCGTGCAAATTGCGTGCGTTTTTCCCGAGCGTTCGTTTTGCGTGTGTTAACTAAAACTTTCACCCTACTGTAAACATTATGACATTAACGTGTAGTTACATAATATTTAAATACATGTATATTAACATACTTAATATGCATGTGTAAGTAAACAAAAGGGCTACCAATCTATTTCTACATCATTGCAGGTCATACCCTCTTTATTCAAAGAAGGCAAATAACCTTTAAGATATAAAGAGGATATCATATGAGTGTAAAGTCAATGCTGGATTAATTGATCTTAATTAATTAATTATTATTATTGATATTAATTTATTTATTAATTAATTAATTAATTAATTAAGTTGAATAAAATTATATTATAAAAAAATATTATTTTATTAAACGAGTTCAATAAATTTAGCAATGAAGTGAAACAAATACAATATTCTTAGACTTTTCATCACATACTAACAATAGGAACTGTATAAGGTAAAAAGAATCGCATTTTTATTGACTCGTGTATAGTGTAACGCAAACATATAACCCAAATGACGTCAAAAATATGCACGGCCGTGTAATATCGCGAAGAATCACAAAAACAACAAGGATATGTGATTGCCATAAAATGTTTTGGTTGTGTTTAAATAATGAGGTGCGAAAGCAGACACAAACGTGTAATGATTTGAAAACTAGTTTACACTTACTGTTATTGCTCACGTGATATTGTACACGGAGAACGTGGTTTAGAACGGTCCGATAAAATGTCAATTTTTACAACATTTCTAAAGGATTTAGTTAACAATATGTGGATATAAAGTAATTTCAGTATATGTGTTCTAATGTCCGATAAGAAAAAAAGTGAAAAAAGTGAACTTTTGTCTGAAAATTCAAAAAATAAACGTGAAGCCACGTCACCTTTGTTAGAGGCCAATGACCCGGATTGCACGGACTACTCGTATGGTGATTTACACAAGTGTAGTGAGAAGTGTAGTGATAACAAAACGCAACGGACAAATAAATATAGGAATAAAAAAAGCAAACACACTAGTGATAATACACAAACTGTAAGTAGTCACTTTATAGATTGGCCTATGGCTTTTTCCGGCGCTGCATTCGGAATGATTCAGCCGTCATATGCTACGAGCCCGCCGCCAGCTATGGGGTTCGGGTTCCCAACGCCAGGCGCTGGATTCCCTTCAAATCCACCACAATGGGCGACTGAACTCATAAATGACGTAAAAATGATAAAGGAAAAACTTCATTCTATCGATAAAATTGAGAAGTCAATTTCATCCATTAATATAAAAATGACAGACATAGAATCAAAAATGAAATCATTCGGTACTAGGATCACTGACACTGAAAAATGCTGTGAATACTTGTCTAAGGACAATGATTCGATACACACGAAGTGACCTGAAAAATATAAAAAAGGATTTTAACTTTGTATAATCACTATCCACTCAGATATGCGGGGTGCAAGAGAAACTTGAACAACAGGTTATAAATCTAGAAATGCAGTCACTGCAGAATAACCTTTTATTTTATGGATTTCCCGAGGAACTAGACGAGAACTGCGGAAACCTAATAAAAGAGCTATGTAGAGATACGTTGAAATTGTCTGACGCTGAAACATTTGGGTTTGAGAAACCCCCCTATCGTCTTGGAAAACGTTCGCCTGGAAAAACACGTCCAATTTTAGCACGTTTTATACAAAATCATCAGCGAGAACGTGTAAGGTCCGCGTCTTTCGATCAAGCAGACGACTTGAGGGATGTAGCACGTGGGATCGGGATTCAACTACCTAGGGGCAGTGCGTGATGCTAGAAGACCGCTGTATCCGAAAAATGGAAGAGGCGAAAAAGGCCGGTAAAATTTGTAAAATTCATCGGAACAAAATTATTCATTAATAGTGTAGAATACAAACCGAGTAGTGATTACTAGAGATGTCATGAAGAGTTATCCTTAAATGTACTGTGTTGGAATGTCAACGGACTAATAAGACATATTACTGATAATGATTTTATTTCGTTTATATCTAGTTATGATTTAGTGTTTCTAAATTAGACTTGGATTTCGAAAACTGACTTATATAGATATGATATTTCTGGATTTACTTGCATTCAACTTAGTGGAAATAAGGTAAAGAACAGTAGTAGAGGTAGATACAGTGGCGGTATTTCTTTATACTTTAATAATGATATTAAAAGATATATATAACTGTAGCAGAAATGAACCAATATGGATATATGTGGATTAAATTAAGTCAAGAACTATTTTCATTTAATGAAGATGTATTTATATGTCACTTGTATATACCTCCCGTAAATTCTAAGGTAATTAAACTGGAGGAATTTGATTTTTTTGAAAATTTAGAAAATGATATTTTGAAATATAACGAATTAGGCAAAATATACGTAACTGGCGATTTTAATAGTCGTACCGCCGATTTGCCTGACTATTTTTTATTTGATAAATACTTAGACGAAAACTACCCTTTTGTTAACCGAATAAACATACCCGAACGAGTTAACAGAGACCACGTGATTGATACGCACGGGCGTCGTCTGCTGGATTTGTGTATATCAACCGGTTTGTCGATAGCAAACGGTAGGGTGTCACATGACCGCGATACGGGCGATTACACTTACTGTTCACATCAAGGGCAAAGTACTGTAGACTACTTACTATTAAACCGGCATGATTTCGACTCATTATTGAGTTTCGAAATTCTCGATTTCAACTCATTTTCGGACCACGCGCCTTTAACGTTTAGTTTGCCTAGAAAGAATTTAAACAAAAACTATCAGTCAGTACCTTCCGTTAATAATACATCTATACAAAGAATTGTATGGGATCAAAATAAAGTCAGTCTTTTTACAGAAAATATAAATAATAAAAGAAATACGTTTTTGCAATTATCAAACGCTTTAAATATGGAACCAATAGATGTTGTTGTTGAAAACTTTTCATCGGAACTTTTAAAATCTGCTTCTGATGTATTCAGACAACAAACAATCGTAGAAAAAATTAATACTCGCCAAAACAAAAATAAATGGTTTGACTATGCTTGTTTACGCGAAAAAAAAAGCAGTTCAATAGCGTCCGAACTAATTTCTTGCGTAACAGAGATAATGATGATATCAGACGGAACTTTGTGCACGCGCGAACAAAATATAATAAAGTTAAAAAAATCGCGAAACGGAAATTCAAAATTAACGAGGGCAAAAGACTAAAAGATCTAGCAAAGAAAAATCCTAGAAATTTCTGGATAACCCTGAAAAAAATAAATAAGAATGTCATAGACAACCCAGAATCTCTTAATATTAATGACCTACGTGATCATTTTAAAACACTTTTTGGGGAAACCAGCTCAAACGATATGAGTGGTAATGTCTTCGTCGGTTCCGAAATTCCGGAAATTGATATAAATTTTACAGAAACAGAGTTACGAACTGCCAATTTTTTTCGCAGAAAAATAAAAATCGCCAGGCAGTGATCAGATTACTAGCGAAATGCTAAAAACCTCATAAGATATTATTTCCCCCTTTTTTATTAAACCTGTATAACAAATTATTTAATACAGGGGAATATCCAGTAAGTTGGGGTGAAGGAATAATCGCCCCCATATTTGATAAAAGGAGATGTAAATAAGGCTGAGAATTATCGTGGCATTACTCTTATTAATACATTAGCAAAAAAACCTATTCACAATTACTTTTGAATAGGTTAACTTCTGGTCAAACAAATATGAGAAAATTTCCAAAAACCAATTTGGCTTTCAAAAGGGTAGATCGATAACTGATTGTATATTTATTCTCCATTCTATTATTCTTAAGGTACTTAATTCTAGGAAAAAGCTATATTGCGCCTTTATAGATTACCAACAATGCTTTGATAAAATTGATAGATATTTTTTATATGAAAAACTTGCTGCTGCAAATCTCAGTTCCAAATTTGTTTCGAGCTATCAAAATCGATGTATACTGTAGTAAAATCTTGTGTAAAGTTTAAAAATACATATTCCGATTTCTTCAATTGTGATATCGGTCTCAAGCAGGGAGACCCGAGCTCGCCTCTGCTGTTTCATGCTCTTCGTTAGTGATATAATACAAAACATAAACACTGACATAGATGATATATTTAGTCTAAATGAACAAAAATTATTTCTCATTCTATATGCAGATGATCAAGTGCTGTTTGCAATGTCCCCTGAAAAGTTTTACAGTCAATGTTAAATGACGTCGTTGTTTATTGTAATACTTGGGGTTTGAAGATAAATACGTCAAAAACCAGGGTCATGATCTTTGAAAAGGGAAGAACCACAATTTTTCTTTTTATATTAATGACACACAACTTGAAATAGTAGACTCTTTTAAGTACTTAGGAATTACTCTTTTTAAAAAATGGGCAATTGGTCGAGGACACAAAAATGTATTGCTCAGCACGCATCGTTTGCATTATTTAATTTGTTTCGTTTGTTTAACAACGCAGAATTTACTTTTTCAAAGAAATTTTACTTATTTGACACGTTGGTTGGTTCAGTTCTTAACTTTGGATCTGAGATTTGGGGGCACCATAAGGCCAGGGAGATAGAAGTTCTACACACGAAATTTTTACGACGAATACTTTGCGATAAACCGATCAACCAACCTATCGGCACTATATGGTGAAACTGGGCGTTTTTTCCCTTGAAATTATGCGAAAGATTTACTATGTTAAAATACTGGATGAAAATATTATCGCAAAAACTCAAATTCACTGATTTTACAGACATTTCTAATGCTAAAAAAATGAAACACTGATTTTAATAGACATTACGCACGAACAAACTGGGCGTACAAATCAAGACTATACTAGATAGCCATGGTTTTAGTTATATTTGGATCACCAATTTAAAAATCGACATTCCTTTCGATGAAATTAAGAAAAGAATTTATGATTCGTACATGCAAACATAGTATGGGGAAATTAATAATTCAAATCGACTTAATTCATACGCGATATATAAACATGAATTCGAGCTTGAGAAATACCTTAATACATCATTACGAAAATAAATACCCGAATAGCATTAACTAGATTTAGAACTTCGTCACATAGCTTAAATATTGAAACCGGAAGATATAATAACATCCAAAGAGAAGATAAATTATGTAGGTTATGTAATATGAATCAAATCGAATCGGAATACCATTTTCTTCTAGTTTGCCTTTTTATCGTGATTTAAGAAAAAAATATTTTCAGCCTTACTTCTGTCACTGGCCAAATATCAAGAAACTTGAGTTACTATTATCATCACGTTCGAATAAAACTATTTATAATGTAACTAAATTTTATATACTATGCGAATCAAAGTCGCGACGCGTAAATAAAGTTCATACAGCATGTTCAATCTATAATTAGTTTAACTCACGATTTTTTCCCGTATTTAGTTGGTTTACTACTAGATAGAAGTATTTTAAGTATTTACACGCGCACGAGAATCTCATTTTAACGCGCGGGAGGTATAAACAGAAACCTTGTGTAGCTGATTCAATTTATATTTAAATGACCAGTCTTTTTTTCTTGTAGTTTATATTTAAATGATCAGTCTTTCTTCTTGTATCAAAAGTAAAATATTATCAATTAAGTATTAATCATAATTGAATATCATGTACTTCTGTAAACCATGTTCTCTTTGTATATAATTATACTCTGTATGCTAAAAACATTGTAAAATGTTTAATGTTGAATAAACTATTATTGTATATTGTATTGTATACTTACTATTGATTTTTTATCATTTAGATGTGGTAAGTTGCTCGCCAAACCCTTGCGAAAACGGGGGTTCGTGTGTTCAAGACGTCAATAAGGTCATGTGTAACTGCGGAGAGGGTTTTACCGGGTATTTGTGTGAAATAGGTATAAGCTTATGATTCTATTTTGTTTTAATTACAACATTGATCATATTGCAATACTTATATAAGTTTTGAAGCATTTTGTAAGCTATTCCCTTTTACATATTGACGTGTACGTGTAATGTGTATATCTATTTAATCATATGATTATCTCCCTTTATAAATAATCAAAAGAAAATATAATGTTTCAGAATATTTACTTGTTGTAAATATTGTTGAAATGTGATTAGATTCATTTATTGTTTGATATAGATACTGTACAGGGTAACCTTTAATGAATATGTGTGTTCATCAAGTCCGTTTTACAGTTGATTAGTTAAAATGTGCTTCAGTATCTCTCTTTAGTTATTGATTAATTTGAATGCTTATTTCTGCAAATAAAGTATCTTTTGATAAGGAAGAATGTGAAATAGTTATCTCCCTTTGATTTTTGATCTCCTTTTTATAATTGAAGGATATTGATATAATACATGTGTCTAAATCTTTCGGTATTATTTCCGTTTCTTTATCGACGAATCTACATCGAATGCTATTCCCGGGTATCCCCTTTCAGATATTGACGAGTGCAAGTCGAACCAATGTCCTAAGAAAGCAAGATGTGTGGACGGAAGCAACTATTACGCGTGCGTCTGTAAAAAGGGATACAATGGTGAAAATTGTGAAAACGGTATCTAAGAATTACTTATGGCCGATATTATATAGATATATCCGAATTATGTTATTCTTTTATCAAACTTTTAGCATGGTGACGGCCGCATATTCTGTCAAGCGTAGATAAGCCTTCTCGTCCATGCCTTCTGATCAGGGTGTGCTCTGTTTGTTCAATCAGTGCTTGTTTTACATTTCCTTTAACCCATTACTTTATGAGCAATTCGTGAAAAATGGCTGTTTTCATTGAAAAGTCTCCCGTTACAAGTTCAAATTGCTATAAAAATATAAAAATATAATGTAAAAAATGTAATGGGTTAAACATGTTGAATGATTTTGTTAAGATTGGGATATTAACTATTCTATTTAATCTATAAAGCATAAAAGGTGTTAACTATTTTCGTCTCTATCGTGTACTTTTTGGCAATTTACAACACTTTCTGTATTGTACCGCTGGACAGTTTCCAAAACAATTTACCTATACTTTACTCGGTTTTTGCGAAATAAATCAAGTTTCTCTAAACATATCTCATGAAAAATGATAAGGGATAAAGTTTTAAGAAACATTAAAGATAAAATTAAACATATTGTATGTACCTCTACCCAGTGGCTGACTAAGAAATACTTATATATCAAACTGTTGTGGGTTCAAATCCTGACTGCGATTTTTTTTCCTTCTTTCTTTTTAAATATTAAAAGATTAGTTGTTCTACACGGGTGCCATTTCGTGCCTGTAATGATAAATATGAGAGTTTCCTCAATATGTATCGTTAAAAAGTCACCATAAAACATTAACAGTTTTCAAAAAATAGAACTATAAATTTTTTTTGCCATATTGACACTGACCTAAAACCTAAACATTGTTCGGCATCTCCCGAGATCTTGTCTTGATTCAAGCATTAATTTCTTTCAGAAATTGACGAATGTGCCTCAAACCCGTGTGAGAATCAGGGGAAATGTGTGGACGGTATCAATACGTACTGGTGTACATGTAAAGAAGGGTTTATTGGAGAGAGATGTGAAGGTTCGTGTTGTGTAATATATCTTTATATCTGTTTAATATAAACACTTATGGATGTGAATTATAGGCCCGAGGCCGGCGTGTGATATGGTATACATAAGATAAAAATTCAATGAGGAAAAAATTGCCTGTGTGTTAAACGTCATAAGGCCAAAACAAAATGATCTTGAGGTTCTGGTAACATGCTGAAAAATAATAGGATAGGTAGGTCGGAAAAACTTTTTATTTTTATTTTTAATTAGTATTTTACTAAAATGTAACTGTTTGTCAGATATATACACTACAGGATACTCCATTTTTGCAATAACATGTTCTAGGTTAGGTGCGGAAATGCAGGGTCGGTCAGGTAACTGGAACCACAAGATCATTTTGTTTTGGCCTTATCTCGCGTGAATGAGTCTCGCGAGAATTGTCGTTTTTTTAAATGAACGAATAGTTTAGTATTAATTTATAATAATTATTTGAAAAAAAAAACAACAACAAAAAAAAAACGTGATAAAACAATTTAAATTAAAAAAAAGAAATGCTTTTATTTAGACACGTGACTAAAGTGCTCGCTTAAGAAAAACAACATCCAATGAAAATGCGTTATTTTCACCACGTGGTTTACAGTTGCATCGGGGTTTGCCTAAAATACGATAGTGACTATTTTGACGAAAGTGAGCGTAAGTGACTTTAAAAATATGAATTATAGCGTTTAAATAGAATTTTACAATAAAGTTGCAGTTTGCAGACGAATAATATTAAAAACTTATTATATTCATTATCCAAAATAATCATAATATTGATTTAATCTCAATTTATTTGCATAAATTCTATACACAAGTTCTGAGATCGTCCTTTCGCTCGCATTGAAAAATACAAAAGTGACTTATAAGATATCAAAAAGCTTTTAAATTGGAATTTATGCTAATATTGCAGTTTGTAGACGTATATTATCAGAAATTGATAATATTTATTGTCAAAAATAATCGTTGATTTTTTTAAAATCATTTAGATGATTTAATCCTCATTTATTTGCATAATGTTAATACATTAGCTGAGACATCTATCTTCCTTTCGCTCATTGTGAACCTGACGAAAGAAACTTATTGAATATCAAATATAGCGTTTAAATAGACTTTAATATCAATATTGCAGTTTGAAGAAAGAACAGTATAAATACGTTACATTAATATAGTTTGTATAAGTATCACAACGATCATTATGTCCCGATTTTCAGAGAAAACATATACGTACTAGTATTTCAAAATATATTATCAAATTTCAACAACATTGACATTGTTTAGGCATGGAGATTATCTTGCTTGATTGATTACGTGCAAACTGGTGTTGTTATAACAGTTTCGCACCCACTTCAATTGACAATAATCACGCGTTCATCCCACGTGTATGATGTTTAATGGCGATGAAAGAAAACTTCAAAGTCAGTGTACAGTATATTAAATTTAAAAAATCCAACTTTCTTTCTACATCTATATAATTTTATAACATGAACAAAAATCATAAAACTCAAATCAAAATTGATTTTGCATAATACATTTCTTTTCTTTGTTTGTACTTATTTGTTTTTTTTTTGTGATTCCTACCTTTATAAACGTCAGATAAACTTAATTCATATTTTTCCGTAAAATTATATTGTCAGTATTTATCTTTTGCACTTCGAAGAAGGAGAGATGTCGGTCGCTCGGTCTATTACCTGTTCGTTTCCAGATGCTAACTTGTGAACGCTTCGTCGTAGGGTCATGAAAGTTAATAGGGAGGTTGGTAATCACTGACAAATGACTGTTATATATGCTCTCAATGAGCCGAAATGGTAAAACCTTTTTCTGATGGTCAGCTGAGAAGACTGGTCAAAAATCATGAACGTTGATACGGTGGTTGCTCATCATTGGTAGATGATCTTTATTGATTTTGGGGTTAATAGTTCAAAGATCAAGGTCACAGGAACCCAAAATGCTTTAACAGTTTCAGGACAATAACATGAGTATGCTTTGGCCGTTTCCAGACAATAACTTGAGTATGCTTTGGCCTAGGATCATCAAAGTTCAAATGGACTTTTGTTCAAAATATACATGTAACCAAGTGCTATTATCAAGGTTTTTGCTATTTTTCAAGAATGGTAACTCTGTCGGCCTTGTTTGATTTTAATCTTAACTTTGTGTGATTATGTCCCCTTGACCACATTTGCTATTTGCTCAACCATAACGTTAGGGTCACTTGAGGTCATTCTCTGTGTTATAGAAGTTGTTGGTCATTGTGACATGTAGATGTGTTGGTTTTACTTATTATAAAATAATTATATTATTAATAAGGATTTGGATTGAGGAATTAGGATTTGCATGTTTTATTCATTTGTTCTTAAAAGTTCTAATGTCAACTAAATGAAGACTTATAGTAATTAAATACAGTTGTGGATTTGATAAAAGTTATTTTGATAAATTTGTATTGAGTGTTAGAATTCAAGATGGCAGCATATGTTCTTATCTTATATAGTTAGGTATTCCTAGAAATCACTGTTTCTATTTGTTATGCACTGATGTTTGCAATTTACAGTAATTGCAGTACAGAGATAATATCACAGTGTGAGTGACAGAGGTAAAGTTACAGAGTCTGATCCACCATTGGTATGTTATATTATATTTATATGTCAGTGTTTATATTTTTGGACCTACATGTATATTTTTAAGTTAAGCATAATGTATATTGTTTTATAAGTAAATGATGAAGTGGTCACTAAATGCAGGTACAATATGATGTAATACATTTAAAGATGTATTTTATGTGTACATGATATATTTAGATGAGATACAATGAATGGACTATTCATATAGACTGATCTGTTTATAGAATATTAGATTAAGTATATATAAGGTACTGTAGTGTATACAAATGTATAAAACTGTATATTTCATGATAGTATGGGATGTTTGGTATTTATACTTTCAGGACTTGATAACAGTGATGTAACTGTGATGTAGATGTGATGTAACTGTGATGTAGATGTGATGTAACTGTGATGTAGATGTGATGTAACTGTGATGTAAATGTGATGTGATGTGATATGATGTGTATGTTGTATGATATATGTATGACATATGATGTTTGATGTGGAGATGAACTGTGTATCCTGTTATATATAGTGTCCACTACATACTAGTATTAAATCGAAGAACCAGTATAACCCTCAGTTTTGTTCTTTATTTATGCAAGGCAAAAAAACATCGGGGTCAGATTCGCACAGATAAATTTTAGTGACCTCGTGTACATAAAATGTTCATGTATGATCGCAACAACACGTAACTATGCAATATCAAAGGAAGTTAGAATTTCTTTTTTCTTGCATTAGATATGGCCCTTCCTTACTTTTTATACTGTATACATATTTCACAAGTTGTGTAACTTCAATTACTGACCTTAACAAAAATTATACTGCAGGCGTATAAATATTTAACTTGTAGTAAACTGGTTTAATATTTCTCTGCTTGTTACAGTGGCGAAATTTTATTTTCAGTTTGTATGGACAAGTTTTGATATAAATTACGATATTACATCATTAAACTGTCTTTTTTCTTTTAAAGAAATAGACGAGTGTGCATCTGAACCATGTAAAAATGGCGGCATTTGTTTTGATGGTAAAAATACGTATAGATGTGAGTGTCCAAAAGGTTTTACTGGAAAGCAATGTGAAAAAGGTTTGTTTATATATTTCATTTATCTGACAATATGAAATGTTGAATAATTTATAAGTCGTTTTAAAAAGTGAAAATACAGGGAAAATAATAAGTTTCGTTTCATTTTCTTTTTAAAACGTCGTGTAATATCAAAGTTAAATATCGCACAAGGATAACTGTTTGTTTCCACTAATCACGTTTTCAAAAAAGATATGACTCCGACATAGTATTCCGCGTGGGGAAGGCGACGTTTTATAACACACATGACATATTTGTAAGTGATTAAACGTTGTTTACTTATTATGCAGTGGTCGTAAAACTGAAAATAAAATTGAAAGTTTCGACCGTGTTACTATCTAATCTTTTTTTTTAAACTACGGCCTTTCACTTTCGGTTTTAAACTAACAATGGACGAAATCAATGATATATGAAAATATTACATCTTTTTCAACAAAATAAAATAAACGAACAGTTAAAAAAATTAAATCATCAATTATCTGTAGTAGATCCTACAAACGGCGTTTAAATTAAATTGTCTTTCGCTTTACAATTGTATTGTTAAATCTTTTCCATGTTAAAGCCGCCGTGTTTTAAACGTAGTGCCTTCGCCATCATGCTTAGAGTGGTTTCACATAGGTCAGTAATACGGCCATTTCATGTTTTATATGATATCTAAATTGAATATATCTGTCAGAAAACATTATTCCCTAAACATCCAATTTCGGGATTAATAATTCCACTTCGGCAAGAGGATATCGTGAAAGGGGAACCTACTAAATGTTGATATTGATTCGGCCTCGATTTTGCCTTTTTACTGATAAGATAGCTATAAACTTAATTATTTTGACTGTAATTTATTTTAAAATGCACTTTATACTTGCATATGGTGAATTCATCAAACGATCGTGAACGCGCTAAGAGTCGCATTTCTGGAAAAGTAAGTTCGCGAAACCTCGCATTTGTATGAATGATAATTGGCAAGAGGATCCGAATGTAAATTTAAATACGGACCATTTTGAGACAGGATACTTGGAAAAACGGTTTTCCGGCGTGTTTTGGTTAACGATAGTGCAGGTTACCTGCTGGTAATGATTCTTGGCGTGCTCCAAATATAATATTACTTGGAACCAAAATAGCCTCCGGCAAAGTTATTATCCATTATAAGTGTACTACCGGCGAAAGTTTTCAAAACCTCACTTGGAGCTACTCGCGTTCCGGAACACCCTTCAGGCCTGCTGTTCGAGCTCCCTTGTTTAATTAATATAGATATTTATTGGCTGAATAATGCTTAATCTAATATCAAATATGGTACCTGATTTTTTTCAAAGTGTAATAATAGGAAAACTTCAAGGCAAAAGTATGTTATATTTCACAAACTCATTCCATATACTTTTGTGATAATATAGGTAAACTTTGAAAACATGCATTAATTTTGATAAAATTAAGTGATTTTTTAATAAGAAAATGGTCAAAAACTGATAAAAAGCAGGGTAGGAGAAGAATTTTATAAATATGTCATAAATTTTGAGAAGAAACAATCATTTTTCTTATGTGGAATGATATCTGAATATTACTATTTGTTTCTTAACAAAAATTAATGGGAAAACATTTTTCAAAAGATTTTTAAAGGTTCCTTATTTCTGAAAAAAAAGAGCCTTGCCTAACATCCTAGCTTAAGTTAAGAAAAGTGGCCATCACTCGATTTCAGTACGGTAAAGTATGTTAACAATTTGTATACAGATGGCCTCTAAGGAATACATTTGATCTATGTCATAATTTTTTCAGTTTGTTTGTAGGGCCCGTTAGGGTGGTCCTTCCTTTAACGAGCTTTGTAGTACCTTGAATCTGCTGCCTGTAAAGCTTAACTTTGTACTTGTAAATGGCATAAAATGGTCAGTTATTTTATTATTTTTATGTCAAGCTTCATGTTACAATTAATAAAACTTATTCATAAACTTAATAAAATATCAGTCAAAAAGGTTTGGAGTTCATTCTAAGAACGAATCACTTCACTTCCACTTCATTGCAAGTAACAGCTTGTTACGCACAGGACCGAATGTACTTTTTGATGGCAATGGTCTGTGTATCAAAGTGGTACCAAATGTCTTTATGCGTTTCGTGTTCAAAAAATATCTGACAATTGTTATTTTGTAGTTGGATATCAACCAGTATTCTTTTTTTTAGAAAATAGAGTTAATTTACATTGTCTGCTTACTGACCTATATCTTATATTTCATTTAAATATTATAGTAATCTGTGTATTGTAGATATAGATGAATGTGCTTCAAACCCCTGTCAGAATGCAGGGACATGTCATCAAGATATTGGTAAATACTGGTGCGAGTGTAAAGATGGTTCCAGAGGAAGTAAATGTCACAGAGGTAAAAATTTAAAAAAATTAATGGACGGTCAACTTTGAAGTTTCCGTCTTGCTAAATTTTTTATTAAAAGTACCGTCCATTGTCAAGTTTAAGGTTTCCAACTGAAGTAAATACCACCTACTGACAACGTCAGATAAGTGGCATTTTTTAAATCAAAGCATTAACCCCTATTACAAACATAATGACAACTCCGTAAACAATACACTGAGCCAAACGAGGTCATGATCTGTCTTGTTCTTTTACACGCTTGATTTATGTTATACATGTACCTTTATATTGAAAATTGTGTCGGTAATTATCCGATTCCGAAGTAAACCAAACGGATTTTAACAAATGATAGAACTGTAGCAGTCAGAAATCTTAAAAGAAAGTGAAATATTTTATGAAACACTGTATACAAAAACTGATTATCCTGATGATTTTAATATGGAAGAGTTCTTAGGCAACATAACAGTTTACTGTCCCAAAACTGAGCAGAAATCAAGCAGATTCGCTAGAAGGAAAATTATTTAGTCTCAGGTCAACATTGCCAAACAATTATTATAATAACTAAATGTGTGATTGATTCATAAACATACATTTACGTCGTGTTGAGATTCACACCTGGTCGGATGTATGAATAAGTCGAGGTTTTGGAATTAAACCCTGTAATTTATCATTACTATTGTTAGAAGTATAACCTTTTATTTTTCAAGGTCAGACTGTTTAAGCGCTATGTTTTGCCGGAAATCTTAAATTTCGGCATGAATGCCACATTACAATAGCCTGTAACAGGAAACAGAAAGTAGGCTTTTGGAGATGAATAATTCTGAATCCTAGAACAAATAAGTGGTATGTTCTATATGAATAGCATGTTCATTTATATGACTACTTGTTGCTTAGGTCAAATGTCCAGCCCTCCGTTCTCCCACCTTCCCACATGCTACAACAATGTTATTACAATTAAATAATATTATTTGTAAAAAGTACAGAATGACTACCTAATTAATACACAAAGCATTATTTTTTATATTAATTGGCAAGGTATGTAACTCCATATGCTCAAAACAAGTCACCGTGTTTTTAAATATGGACACATTTTCAAATTTCGGTTTCAAATGACGAACATACTTTCTCTATACAATTCGCTTACCTCTTTAACACTAGCATTTGAACCAAAGTCTAGTACCGAATTATCAAAATGCCAAATAATGTGTCAAGGACACACTATACATCGATGTTAACATTCTCATTTCTCAATGAAGACAAAACAAATCTCTTTGCAATCTGGCCTACACCCGTATGTATGCAAAAATAGATACTTAAAAGATACTCGGCCGAAGTAAAATTGGTTAGCATGCAGAGTTATGTTATTTAAAAGTCTTCAATACAAAACGAAATGTAAGCACAGCTTGAATAATAATGATATAATAATTGTTTCGTGTAGCTAAGAAAATGCCCAGTTCATATGCATTGAAATCAAATTATAGCATATTTATATTGATGATTTTTGTGTCGCCTCTACGAAGTAGTGGCGACATATAGGGATCACTTCTCCGTCGTCTGTCTGTCCGTCTGTCCGTCCGTCTGTCTGTCTGTCCGTCTGTACGTCACAAAACTTGTCTGGACTACTCCTCATAAACTACTGGTGCAATTTCATCCAAACTTTACAGGAATGATCAGTACCAAGTCTAGTTATGCATATTGTCAGCTTTTTTATGGCCCTTTAATAATTTTTAATTTTAATCTTGTGTTGAATTTGGAAGAAACCCTTCTGTCTATATAATTGATGTTGTTCAAAATGACTCTATTATTCCATTTTATGAATCTCCTGCTTTTGAACATTGTGATTTTGTATCGGGTACTGTCACTGAGTTCATTCTGGTTGAGTTTTAGAATTTCCTTAAATTCCTTATTTAGTTATAATTACGTTTTTAGTGTCTGTCAATAGTTCTGGCAAAATACGTCTTATCCATGTCTTAAGCGTTATGAATAGATATATTTGGAAAGAACATTTTAAGTTCGAAGAATGGTCAGTTGTTTTTGAATATGTGTATCCGGATGGCTTCATGTACAAATTGGATGTAACCTCAGCATATCACCATGTAGAGTGATATAGTTCCATCTCAGCAATCATTTTTAGGGTTTTCGTGTATTGGAAACATTTTAACAAAATATTGTGTTTTCACTGTTTAACCTGTTGGCTTGACATCGGTTCAATTTATTTGGACAAAGTGAGTACGGCCAACTGTAAAACATATTAGGGAAAATGTTACATTTTTTGTACTATTTTAGATGACAGCTGAGGGGGAAAATTAAACACTTAGGTTGTTTAAGAATGACGTCATGTTTGTAAAATCAGTTTTGATTAGGTCAATTTTTTATTAATTTGAATAAATGTGTTTTAGAATCAGTACAAATTCTCGAATTACTGGGTAATTATGGAATTTATTGAAATTCCAGGAAAGGCGAAAAAGTAATTTGTCAAATTATATTCAAGCATATTGTGCAAAAACTCCTTTTTTAAGTGCAAGAGAAATGGCAAAGTTCATAGGGAAATTTTTATTAATGCCTGTTATAGTAAATATTTGTAAATTAATAAAAAAAACATTAACACCATGTCACCGAATCTAGAAATAAAAGTTGTGACTCTGTTTTAGATATTAGCCGATCTGAGAGAGCTATTTGTGAAATACAGTAATTGTTATGGAGAAAGAAAATAATTAGTAAACCAATCAGTACCGGTATTGATGTCTATTATGACGCTAGCCAAATAGCATACACTGCTTATGTTGAAAGTTATACGAGGGATCAAATTTGTAATAGGAATAAGTCTCGAAATTTTCATTTCTTCGTTTTTGTATTTTACATTCATTATTCTGTAAATGTCCTCAAAACAAATACACAAGGCAGTCACAGAACAAACCTTTTCTCCTTGGTGGTTTTCTAACTTGACCCACGTTGGTCAGGTTAGAGCGTTAAGATTTCATAACAGTTTACAGATTGAACTCTGGAAACGTTAAAGAACATGTCAAATGAAGGACTTAGACTTGTTTCAATCATACAATATCCAAAATATCTGTTATTGTAACTTCCAGGGATTGTTCAAGTCACATGACTTGTTTTAAATCTACTCGTGATTATGTCGGCGTATACAATTTCGTTCAACATATATAGATATATTTACGCTTCAAACCAAAAATATATACAATTTATACAGAAATTCAAGCCGGGACTTTATATGAATGTCATTTTAGCGTGATTTGAGTACATAAAATCATTTTGATAATTTTGTCAATAATTTGCCTGAGTATCCCTTTAAAGCAAATTATGTGATGTTGATGACGGGGGTGTTTAATGGGAGTTTTTTTATTATTATATCTCATATTGGGACCTCATACAACAGATCGGTTTGTGAACCATTACAATCGAAAAATTGTTTGTTTTAACAGTTTAGTTTGGGTTCCTGGAACTGAGAAAGTTGACACTTTTCCTGCAGTTTCGGCTAATGAAAGTAACTGGTTAGTACATCATGTGGCTTTAGTAATTTTCTGTTGGCTTGTTAAGCCTCTGGGGCATTGATAGCACCTACTTGGCATTCAGTACCTTTTGGCCTATGTTAACGGGAGATTACAGTAAAAAAACGTATGTCGAGGACATGCTCCTTTTTCAAAAGATCAGAACATATTTATACAATATCTAAACAAGCTGTTAAACTGAGCCTGCAATTTCGTGAAAATAATATCACAAGGCACATACTTTTTACATAAAGTTATTAAATACAAATATAACAACATATTTGTTTACTTGATTTGTACGAATCAAAATAAAACAAATTAACACAACATGACATTAGGCCAAAATAAAAAGCATTCCATAAGAGACGACGCCGCTCACTGGCGTGATGATTAGAATATCATTTTCGTTTCAGACAAATTTAACAGGAAGGTTCTAGCTCACAGGTTTGAGTTTTATGTTTTCTTTCATTTCATTCAACCAAACATAAATAATTTATCATTTAACTCCATAATTAATATCCTACAAGGATAAAATATAAATAAGAAAGACAATGTAGGAGTGGCTACTACAGGTTCACTTTAATTTTATCGACAGAAAAAGAGCGGGATACGTTTCATAAGTCGATGAGTAATTGATCTAAATGCCCAAATTTAAAGACACGCTTCGTTTAATTTCGTCACTTTCTCTAATGTATAAATTTTTAGATGTCTCAGACTGCCATCTACCATGTTTTTGCAACAATCTTTCACAAACTCCTTGATTACTAGCCGAAGTAGCACCTCCTGATCTAAATGAATGCAAACCAAAATTTCTAGTATTTAAACCGATAGATGCTAAATTCTTTATGAGAATTACTCTAGCACGCGTATAAGAAATAGGAGAACCCCCTCTCAAAACATATTCACCTCTTTTCTTGCAAAAACTGACTTTCCTAAATAAGTATTCCTCCGAATCTATATTAATTTTCCCCATTTTTAAATACTTTTCCAAGGCAGTAACAGGACAGGTAAGCTTATTAGTTCTTGCTATAACTACTGTAGCTCCCTTCCTTAATTGATCTGTTTTAGAAGATCCTAACATTATTTTGACCTGACTATCATCAATTTCTAAATCAGATCGTTTTAATTGTATTACTTCCGCAAACCGTAAGAATCCAGAAAAACTAAGAAGAGACATTGTAATAAATCTCATATCTATAAAGTTTACATTTGAATTAAAATGTAAAACTAATTTAGCTAAATCTTCGGCCAAAAGAGGCTCTTTAGGCTTAGACGGCTTACCACACTCCCTTAAAATGCCACATTTATTATTTTTCACAAATTCAGAAGAACACGGATCTTCTAACCCGGCCATTTTATGAGCACAAGAGATTGAATACAAAATACTGTTTATTTTTGACTCTGACGAACCATAGGTGAAAACTGATGACAAATATAAAGCTACATGTACATCAAGCGCAGGTAAAGAGCTGAAATTGTATTTCTTACACCATGTACAAAACA